CCCCACGGGGGATGGTCACGCCGCAATCCCTTCTCCTCCATTCTCCTCTTGGGATCCTGGGCACGCATGCCCTTGCGCCCGGCGTGAGTTTTAGGCCGCTGGGTCCGGATGCAAACTGCGGTCGACTACAGGGGAGTCCAGCGACATAGCCATTACGCTAACTTCTGGTCCCCACAAGTCAACTTTTCATAATCATTTCATGTAATGAAATTGGTCAATATAATAGCACTCGTTTTTTTCAGTTCAATCAAATATTTTGATTTATTATTTAACTGGAGAACTTCTAAAGCTTTTTGCAACAAGCTCCAAGACTATAGACTACTGAATAATGTAAACGTAGAACAGATAGTGTGCACTATTTTATATACTTACATCCTAGTTACTGACATGCAGTTATAGTATTCCTAAGGGTTGAAATTTCTTACATGAATTTTTAATAAGTAGTTTCACCAACAAACTAATAGGACCATGATCCATTTTTAATGCCTTGAAATCAAGGTTTTCTTTTTTTTTTAGAGTGGTTTTTGCTATAGGGCGCGTGCTCTCGACAGAAAGAGAGAGACAGAGAGACAGAAAGTGAGAAATCACCGCCCCCCCAGGGGGGATGGCCACGCCACAATCCCTTTTCCTCCATTCTCCTCTTGGGATCTTGGGCATGCACGCACAAGCGCCTGGAGTGAGTCTAAGTCACCGGGTCCAGGACTCAAACTGCAGTTGACTACATGGGAGTTCAGCAACATAGCCATTACACTAACTGCTGGTCCCGAAATCAAGGTTTTCTCACAGTAACTGTAGTAACGATCACAAAGTTAAAAGAGACATTACTTTATAAGTAGCAGTAGTTCAAGGTCAAAGTACAAAGCAAAACTTAATGAGAAGTACCATCTATTTCTAGCTCTCCAAACAAAGTCTGAGAAACCATGGCTGTTTACTATTGCGCATTCTTCATGTTTCTTACAAAAGAATACTAATTATATAAAGGAAGTATAGTACTAATTATATGGGAAATTCCCATATAATATGGGACTTCTGTTTGTTTTCACAGAATCATTCCTTGTGATAGAGAAAAGGTAAATTCCAGCATCTAAGAGTAGTGTTAAAGTGGTCAATTTATGGAACAATGACTGTTTATGAAGTTTAAAGTTATTTATTTGCCACGTACATGTTCATTTCAACAATCATGCCGGTTCTCTTCCCTCTGCATATACTTTTATTTTTTTTGGAGAGGTTTTTGCTATAGGGCACATGCACCTGCCAGAAAGACAGAGAGAGACAGAGAGACAAAAAGCGAGAAATCACTCCCCAGGGGGCATGGTCATGCCACAATCCCTTCTCCTCCATTCTCCTCTTGGGATCTTGGGCATGCATGTACACATGCCCAGCGTGAGTTTAAGGCACCAGGTCTGGGACTCGAACCGCTGTCGGCTACATGGGAGTTCAGCAATGCCGGTTCTCTTCCCTCTGCATATACTTTTATTTTTTTTGGAGAGGTTTTTGCTATAGGGCACATGCACCTGCCAGAAAGACAGAGAGAGACAGAGAGACAAAAAGCGAGAAATCACTCCCCAGGGGGCATGGTCATGCCACAATCCCTTCTCCTCCATTCTCCTCTTGGGATCTTGGGCATGCATGTACACATGCCCAGCGTGAGTTTAAGGCACCAGGTCTGGGACTCGAACCGCTGTCGGCTACATGGGAGTTCAGCAACACAGCCATTACGCTACCTGCTGGTCCCCCTCTACATATACTTTAAATTCTTCTGCTCTTGAGGGTTCAACTCAAACACAGATACAACTAAATAAAGGGCAGGAAAATCTTCCCACATCACAAAAGATTCTTAAGACCTATCAACAGCTGCAGAGTGGCACAATCATCTAGAGAAGCAAAAACAGCCAACTGCTGTCTTGGGCAAAACTTTTGTTAAATTATTAACTCTAAATTAAATTTAGCATTGCAAATAATAGACAGAATCGTTATATTCCTCAATGGTCTAACTTTGTTCTTCTCTTTTTGTATCTTCTCTGTGGGTAATCTTATCCACTCCCCAGGTTTCTGCCATTTATCTAAATACTAATAACCACAAATTTTTAACTTCTGTAATGCATGAAACTTACTCCAAAACAAGAATGGAAGAGCTTATATAAATGTAAGTACAACAAACCCACAGGATTATCTCAATAGAAAAAGTAACGGACAAAAGCCAACACCTTTCATAAAACAAAACAAAACAAAAACAGTCAACTTCCTCAAGCTGATAAAAGACATCTACAAAAAACCCACAGCTAACATACTTAATGGTAAAAGGACGAGATATTTCCCTGTAAAATCAGGGAGAAGACAAGATTTGCATTCTCTTCACTTCTATTCAAGGATCATTTACTAAAGGTTCTAACCTAGGCAATTACTCAAGGGGGAAAAAATAAATGGGTTCATGTGGGGAATCAAGAAGCAAAACTCTTATTTGCAGATGACATGATTTTATATATTGAAGATCTTAAGGAATCCCCTAAAAAATGTGAAAACTAATAAAGTACATAAGTTTGTATCATACAAGATCAAAGTACAAAACTAAATTGTATTTCTATATATCAGCAATGAACCAGCCAAATGTGGAGAAGCAATTTCATTTACAATAGCATAAAAATAATAAAGTATTTAGGAATAAATTCAACAAAAGAAGTGCAAAAATGGTACACTGAACACTATATTGGTAAAATAAATGAAAGAACAGCTATATAAATAAAAACACATCCCATGTCATGGACCTGAAAGCTTAATATTGTTAAAATGTCAATATAACCCCAAACTGACCAACAGTTTGAAAAGTTTCACTAGATTTTTTGCAACAATTTGCAAGGTGATCTTAAAATTCATATGGAAATAAAGAGGACCCTGACCAGCCAAAATTATCTTGACAAAAAACAAAGTTATAGGACGTAAGTTTACCAATTTCAAAACTTACTACAAAGCTACAGTAATCAAGAGAATATGCTACCCACATAAGAAAAGATAGAAAAGATAGTCAATGAACTAGCACTGGGGTTCCAGAAACAAATCCTCATATTTATGGTCAATTGATTTCTGACAGGGTGCTAAGATAATTCCAGGGGGAAAAACATTCTTTTCAATGAATTGTACTGGGACAACTGGATATCCTCATATGTAAAAGACTGATGTTGGGCCCTTTCCCTGTTCCATATATAAATCTTAACTACAAACGGATTGTAAATCTATATGTAAGAGCTAAAATTATAAAACTCTCAGAAGAAAACATAGGCATAATCCATCGTTGCCTTGGTCTTCTTAGACACAATACCAAAAGCAAATGTGACAAAAGAAAAAATTTTTAAATTGGGCCTCATTAAAACCAAAATCTTTTGTGCTTCAAAGGGTACCAACAAGAAAGTGAAAAGCACTCAGACACAGTGGCACAAGTGGTAGGGAACTGTACAATGGATCCCCATAGGTGGTCTGGGTTCAGATCCTAGACCAACCTGAACACTCCAGGCATAGCAGTGCACTCCTATATCCTAGCTAATTAGGAATACAAACAAATTCAATGGTAAGCCCTTATCACACATATCTCTCTCTTTTTCTCTCTCTCTCTCTTTCTCTCTCCCTCCGCCTCCTTCCTCCTTCTCCTGCCCTTGCAAGTGTGCACACTCTCTCTCATTAAAAAAAAAAAAAAAAAAAGAAGAAGAAAAGAAAAAGACAATGGAATGGGAGAAAA